CAAGCATGGAACAAATACGGATCATTAACTCTGCCCCTCATTTGCACTATACGTGTTACATCTCCAATTAAAACTCAAGGCACAGCCCATGACCAATTGACTTAAATCCAAAACAGAAACATAGGCGCCAATTGAAGCAAAAAGACTCCCATCCAGCAGAATCAATAACTAAACTCGAAGCACTTCCATCCCGCGTAAAACTGATCCAGAGTTGTACGATCGAATCTTGACTGCCAAGTATTTTTTACCTCAATACATCACATGAACTAACCAGCAAACCCCACAGCACTAACCACATAGCAGGAACAGATATCTGACAACTTTCCAGACACAGAAATTGGCTCGTTAAAAGAGCATACCTGTATAATTGCAGACCGATTCAATAGCATAAGTTAGCCATTAGCCTTACACCAAATGAAATGAGTAGAACTGTGTAACCCTTCTTGAGCCAATGCGTTAGCAGCAGTGTTCCTTTCCCTGTAATCAAACTTTACCTTCCACGAATAACGGATACAGTAATCTTTACATTTAGCCACCACAGCAGCGAAGTGGAGCGGGGAAAGACGGGGGTTCTCAATCCACTGTACAACCTTTAAAGAGTCCGACTCGATAATCAGAGCTCTCAACCCCGCCCATTTAGAAGATGAAAAGATCTGACATGCTTCAAGAATGGCAGCAAGTTCATCCAACACCCCGATCGATCTCGAAAAACGAATCAGGGTCTCACCATTATCGTCCCTTAGAATTCCACCGATGTGGGCCTCGCCCACGATACCTCTTACGGTAGCATCGACATTGAAATTTAGTTTGTCATTGATTGGTGCTATTCATGAATCGAGTCTCTGTCTACTACAACACTTTGGCCGAATTGACACGGACAGAGCAGACCTAATGAAATCATTTACGGAAAGAACCGATTACGGCCATAGATTTCTTGCTCAAAAGCCAATTCTAAGCAGCACTATATCAAACAACAGGCTTTTGAAGGACTCTGGCACTCACTCTTCTTATTCTTAAAAATTGCATCCTTACGCGCCATCCAGATAGACCAGACTATTCCAAAGAAAGCGAGCTTCCATAGCGGTCTGATTGAGGGTTTAATAGAAGCATCTTCTCATATAATCAACAGGCTTTTGAAGGACTCTGGCACTGCCAAATGAACGTTCCAAAGGCCACACCAAGCCTGCCATAATCTCCAGGATACTTCACAATGAATCAGGAGGTGATTTGTTGTTTCACTATTTTTTTCCACACAGGGCGCAGCAATTCGAATCTGTTTGGAGTGGTTGAGAATATGCTGATTCGAGTGGATAAGTTTATTTTTTTCCAATAGATTTCATCAGTTTGGATTGTGAAGTCAACAAGGATATTCTCATTATACTTGGCCGACCTTTTCTTGCCACCAGACATGCGTTGATTGATGTGGAAAATGGGAAACTTACTATGCGTTTGAACGATGAACACATTACTTTTAATGTCTTGAATAATGTTTCTTATGTTGATGATAATGATGAATGCTATTCTATTGATATCATTGATATGTTCGTGCATGAATATTGGGATAAATGCCACAACATTAAAATGCTACCAACAATGCTATGACAATTGAGGCGATAATCGAGGATGAGGAAGTTAAAGGCAAATATATGCAGCATTATGAATCGTTGTAATTTCACAACCGACCTATTCAAGTTTAGAAGTCTTCGATTGAAGAGCCACCCACATTGGAATTGAATCCTTTGCCCGAGCACTTGAAGTATGCAAGGTGGAGACAATGAAACTTTGCTTGTTATTGTTGCAGCACAGCTTAAAGCACCGCAAGAAGCTAAGCTACTTACTGCTCTGAAGCAGTACATACGAATGATTGCTTGGAGCATCACTGATATTAAAGGCATTAGTCCAGCATTCTGTATGCACAAAATCTTTATGGATGATCCCAACAATAGTTCCATTGAACAACATAGAAGGTTAAATCCAATCATGAAAGAAGTTATTCGGAAGGAGATCATTAAATGGTTGGATGTTGGAGTTATATACCCAATCTCAGACAACAATTAGGTAAGTCTTGTACAATGTGTTCCAAAAAATGTGACATTATTGTGGTGACGAATGACGTGGTGAGGAATGATAAGAATGAGTTAGTGCCAATGAGGACTACTATTGGATGGAGAATCCGTATGGACTATAGAAAGCTCAATAAGACTATAAGGAAATATCACTTCTCGTTTCCATTTATAGATCAAATGTTGGATCGTCTCGCCAGCAAAGCTTTTTATTGTTTCTTAGATAGGTGTGGCGGTTATAACCAAATAACTATAGCCCCTAAAGATTAGGAGAAAACTACTTTCACCTGCACATATGGAACATTTTCCTTCCGATGAATGTCGTTTGTTATGTGCAATGCTCTAGCAACATTTCAGCGATGCATGATGGAAATATCCTCTGACATGATTGAATACTACTTAGAGGAATTTATGGATTATTTTTCTGTTTTTGGGCAACATTTTGATTAATGTCTCACTCATTTGGTCGTTGTGTTGAAATGATGAGAAGAAACCAATTTGGTTTTAAATTGGGAGAAATGTCACTTCATGGTGACTGAGGGTATAGTACTAGGGCATCACGTTTCTCGCCACGGCATTGAAATTGATAAGGCTAAAGTGGACATTATTGATAAGTTGTCCCCTCCCACTAATGTGAAATCAGTTAGAAGTTTCTTAGGACATGCTGGTTTTTTATTGAAGATTCATCAAATATTTCTATCAAATTGCTAGACCATTATGTTCATTGCTGGAGCATAATATGAAATTTATGGTGGATGATAAAGTGTTGAAGTCCTTTGAAACAATAAAGCTAAAACTTATTACTGGTCCTTTAGTAGTAGCTCCATATTGGAATCGCCCATTTGAGTTTATGCTGATGCTAGTGACCAAGCCATTAGAGCACTGCTGGGGCAAAGAAAAAGTCTTCCATGCTATAGGTTATGCTAGTCGAACACTAAATGTTGCCCAGATGAACTACACAACAACCGAGAATGAATTGCTAGTTGTGGTGTTTGCCTTTGATAAGTTTTGATCTTATTTAGTTAGAACTAAGGTCATTGTATACACTGCCCATTCATTTTTGAAGCATTTGTTTTCCCAAGAAAGATACCAAGCAAAGGTTAATGAGATGGATGTTGTTTCTTCAAGAATTCGACATTGAAGTTAAAGACAAAAAAGGGTTCGAGAACCAAGTGGTTGATCATTTATCACACTTGGAAGTTGGTAGTGAAGACAAAAAGATATTACTGATACCAAACACTTTTCCCGATGAGAGTTACTTGCAGTTGAAATTTTGCCTTAGTATGCGGACTTTGATTTGGTAAGTGGTTTGTTGTCACCTGACCTTAATTACTAAGGTAGAAAAAAAATCAAGAGATATGTATGTGCATATCATTGGAAGGAGTCGTACCTTTTCAAGCAATGCAATGATCAGATTCTATGAAGATGTGCCTTGAATGTGAGCACTAAAGCATTTTTGCCTTATTGCCACAATGCATCTTATGGTAGTCATTTTCGAGGAAAGTGGACTGCATCAAAAGTCCTGTAATGTGGTTATTGGTCGTTGTTGTTCAAGGATGCAAATGATTTTATCAACCAATGTGATCGATGCCAAAGAACTGGTAGCATTTCTCGTCCCAACGAAATGCCAACACAACCTATTTTAGAGATCGAACTATTTGATATATGGGGATTAAATTTCATGGGACCATATCCCTCATCATGTGGAATACTTTTTATTTTAGTCGTTGTTGACTACATATCCAAATGGGTCGATGTTGTAGCACAACCCACCAGCAATGCTAAAGCGGTTCTATGGTTTCTCTACAAAAACATTTTTACTCGTTGCTAATATATATTTTTTTTGAAAGTAATATTTATTCATTCTAACACCATAACGACAAGAAGTACATCATTTTTTTATACAATCAGACTCATCAAAGTAGAATCAAAAGGATTAATTCTCGACAAGATCCATCGAGCCAAAGAGTGTGCTACCCTATTAACCTCACGATTTGCATAAAAGACTTCAAGATCCAGATTATTAACGAGTGCTTCGCGAGACTTGTTGAGCAATAATCCAACAACTGATATGTCTTCTTTAGAATTGGTCAAGCAATTAACAATAGTAATTTTCTCGCCACCCATTCTCAATGGCTAGTCTTATGGCATATCTCATATGTGAAAGTCATCGCTTATGTGGATTCCAGTGTTCGAGGGGCTTCAATTTTGCAAGCGAAACCCCCGACCACCATGCAAATCACGGTTCTGATTATCTTGAATTTATAATATTTGATAAGAAATCAAATCCACATGAAATTCTGCGATGAGAAAACGCGTCAAATAAAAAATTTTGCTATTCAATTGGAGAAGTAAAAGCTTACCTGTCAAAAGAAGAAAAGGCAATGCAAATCTCATAATAATTTCTCCTTTTAATCGTAAGCGTAATCATTGTAGTTGGACCATAACTGAAATCCGGAACTCGTTAGTATAATATTGAATCTTTGTCACCAGTAAAGAGCCAAAACAATACACACCCAAGACAAAATCAACCATCAGAAAAACTCCATTGAGTAGAATAAGTTCCCCATGGTTTTTTTTATCTTTGATGAGCCTTGAACTTCATGGTTGGCTGCAGTCAATTATTATGAAGAAAACACGATAACTCATTTTCATACAAACCATGATTTTCACTTTACATGATAACTTAGAAAGTTTTGATCTTTGGGTTTTTTTTTAATTCAGTCTGCAAAAGTTGCACACTATTTTATTTGTTGGGCTCATGTTTTCCAAAATATATGTTTCCTCGTATATGGGTATTTTCGGGATAATGAGATGTTCTTTAAGCAACTTCTTTTAGTTTCCCCCACGATGGGTTTACGGAACCACAAGATCAATGCTCTGTGTGATTCTAATGACTGTTTTGACCTTGGTTATGCACCCAATAAATAGAGCACTGGAGCTATATCTGTTATAATCTTCCCCAACAAATGAAACTAGCCTAGCAACGGCAAGCATTAGCAAAGCAAGTATGACGAAACAATGGTGAAATTCGCAATTGAAAATGACGAATCTTTAAGCAAACGATTGGAAAAAAGATGCCGAACTTTAGGTTGTTACCGAAACACATAATCCTTGTCCGACATGGTGAGTCCGAAGGCAACAAAGACCCCTCGGTCTACACGACAACCCCCGACTACAAGATCTCCTTAACCGAACATGGCCGAGCCCAAGCCCGACTTGCTGGTTCCCGGCTCCGGGACCTCATTTCGACCAAGGGGCCTTCCCAAGATTGGCGGGTTTACTTCTACGTATCTCCTTACGAGCGCACCCGATCCACGCTACGGGAGATTGGGAAATCGTTCTCGAAGAAAAGAGTGATCGGTGTGAGAGAAGAGTGTAGGATTAGGGAACAGGATTTCGGGAATTTTCAGGTGGCTGAAAGGATGAGGATTACAAAAGAAACGAGGGAAAAATTTGGGAGGTTTTTTTATAGGTTCCCTGAAGGTGAATCTGCTGCAGATGTTTTTGATCGAGTTTCCAGTATGTCCTTCTTCATCATCAAATTTGCATTCTTTTTTTTAATGGAAACTTTGCATTTTGTTTAAAAGGGTGCTTAGGAAATCTAGATTCTGTTGAGAAAAATGGAAATTTGGTATTGGGAAATGGGAAACTGAATATCCTTGTTGTCTATTTTATTGGCTGCTTCTCTCTGTATTTTTGCTATTGGGTTCTCGGTTCCTGCTTTGTATATTGAAACAAAAAACAGGTTAGAAGGTAGTTAAACTGCATACACAAGACTCAGGTTTATTGATTTCTTGACTTTGTTTGAGCTTAGGTTTCCAATATGTTCTTCTTCATCAAATTTGCATTCTTTTTTAATGGAAGCTTTGCATTTTGCTTAAAAGGGTGATTAGGGAATCTAGTGTCTGTTGAGAAAATGGTGACTAGGAATTGGGAAATCAGATGGCTTTGGATATATTTTATTGAATGTTTCTCTTGTATTGTTTTTTTTCTTCTTTTGTTTGAAATAAATACTTCTGGGAATGATACAATGGATTTTGAAACCTTGAAAGAAAATAACTTTTGAATGAAAATCGGGTTCATGTTTTGTTTATGATGAGAATGAAATATTAAAGGACTGTTGAACTGCATATACAAAACTCTGGTTTATTCCTTCCTTGTATGATCACAAAATTTCTTTGATGCATGTATTTTTTGTTTTTCCCCCCTCTCCCGATCTTAGCACGAAAATGTTGTCTTACAAATGTTAATTCAATATATGTAGGAAATGAGTCGAAACAGTTTTTTGTTCCCCAGAAGTATTGGATTAGGTGTCAATTTAGTGGGTATTTTTTATTTGGATGATAATGATGGCATTACATGATATTGCATAATTTTACTTCATAAATAATTTTTAGTTCTTATATTGTTTGTGTATGCTTGTTGAGAGTTGGTTTCTGAAAATCATCTGCCTCGTTTGGATGTTGGGATTTGAATCTCAGTCCCGGGGACTTTTTATATGTTGGTTCTAGAGAGTGACTGCATGAACCAAATAGGATAAGTCTCAGGTTTGCTGGATTTGTCATGTCATCCTTATAGAGATTGAGATAGCAGTGTTCACCGACTCAAAGGTTTAAGGTTAGAAAAGTAGAATTGAACCAGTTGTGACTATTTTCGAATAGATTAGGATGGTGAAGCAGTTCGTGTCTATTGAAAACAAATCTCTGGCTTTGAATACTATGTGTTATACATGGTATACAATGTTTAAACGAGATAAAGTGATAAATCTTTCTTGTTCTTTAACCTTATTTCTTTCCAGAATGAGCCTTAGTAATCAAATGGTTTTGATTTTAATTTGGGTTGATGAAAAGCGATATTGATTTTTTTTAATTGGATTTTACAGGTTTTCTTGAATCTCTTTGGAGAGATATAGACTTGAATAGGTTTAACAATAATCCTTCTCAAGAATTGAATCTGATAATAATCTCACATGGTTTAGCCTCTCGGGTGTTTCTAATGAAGTGGTTCAAATGGTCAGTCGAGCAATTTGAGGGGCTATATAATCCTGGCAATTGCGAGATTCGAGTTATGGAGTTGGGACCTGGTGGAGAATATAGCTTGGCGATCCATCATACCGATGAAGAGTTGCAAGAATGGGGGCTCTCTCCTGAAATGATAGAAGAGCAGAAATGGCGAATCAAGGCCAACAAAGCTGATTTGAACTATCATTCTAAATGGTATCTTAATTCGTTTTTTGACCAAGAAATAGACTCAGATGCAGATGTCTCAGAAGATGTTGTTTCAGATAATGAATTCGAAGATGTCAAAGAAGAAAATTCAGATGATGATTCCAAAGACAATTTTTTAGATACCTATTCTTAAGATTTCGAAACATGTGCCATAAACTCCCTGTTGGAAAGCTCATTATTTGTAGATCACTCATCCGTCAAGTCCTTTTTTTCCCCTTCCTTTTTCTAGAATTCCACCATTATTTTTTGTTTGTGATAAATGAGATACCAAATTGAAGTTCCAACATCGGCTAATACTGGGAACTGAGTTATCTCCATAACCGGCAGCTCACAAAGGACAAAACGGCAGGTAAATTTAGCTAAACTCAAGACTGTTCCTCTCCTCTACTGTGTCATTTATGCTAAACCATTTTCTTTTGGAGGTTGAACTTCAGATCCAATTGCAGACACTAGTGCTTCTTATTCCTTTGATACTGCAGAAGCTATGGTCTTACAGCTCAGGTGTTGTCTGATACGAGTATGTGTCTGACACGGGTATGTTCCAAATCTGGGTATGCTTCAGATACGGATGCTTAAAGAAAAATGAAGAATCGGAATAAGTACTGCAGAAAGTAACACCTTCAGCTGATGTTCTTGAGCCACGGGATGCATTGCTGGGCTAGCCATGGAGCTCAATATTGCCAATGAAGTACCGAGGGAAGGTAATCAATCTGAAACCTGATGAGAACTATGGCCGAATGGTACACTTTTCATTGCATATGATTTTCTTAGAATGTTTTCTTTGTATGGGAATGGATGCAAGGTTAATTCATTTCATTGATTTTGTAATTTGATTAAAATTCAGTTAAGTTTTATTTTTAGAATTTGAACTCAATCTAGATTAAAAAAACAAACTTTTTGAGTTCGTTTGGCTAAGTTCATAGCAATGTCAAACTCGAGTGTTCTCGTAACATAGTGTCATAACCATTTTTTTATAAATAATTAAATTTTAAAAATAATTATGACTTTATTTTGAAAGTTTTAGACTTTGGTTTATTTTGAAATTTAGAATCAACATCGACCTTTAGGTTAAATAGATTGAATACTTAAAAATATTTTTTTAAACAATTTAAAAAAATCATTTTAAAGACAAAAAGTCAATCTTTGTGTCTCCACAAATTCATTTTTTAAAATTCAAGAGTCAATTATGCATGATAAAATGTGAGCATTATATATTCTCTAAATAGTAGAGTTTTACAAATTCAAAATTTAAATTACGATCATTTTATTTCTATGATTTTGTAAAGGAATAAGTGAATATTGTAACACTCTAATTTAGGGGTTAAATTTAAGAAATTATAAAGTGGTGAATTTAATTAGTATTTTAAAAGAAACGGTGGATTAAATTGTAAAATTTTAAAGTTGACAGACTGTTTTAAGAAGTACAAGAAATTTAGTGATTAAACCCATGATTTAACTATTTTTATTTTGGAGAGAAATATAAACTCTCCCAGTGCGCAGGTTCAACAGAATTTTTCCAGTTTTTTCTCTCCAACAACCCTCCTTTCAACTCCGATCTACTCGCCGTCCGACCTCCAATCGACGAATCGAACCCACCATCGTGTTCGTTGTCGACCGAGGAACAAAACCCCTCAAACCTTTCATCTTGAATCGCCGTCGTTCGTCGTTAATTTCAGTCGAAAGTATTTTCGGTAATAACTCGATTTCAGTTGGTTTTTCGTCGATTCACGACGATTCGATAATCCGTTTTCGACACCTCTCGTACCATCGTGTTCCTTGCATCGTTTCGAGTCATCCGGTGTTCTTCGTTTCTCCGTCGTCGTCGGCGCGTGGAGGGCTGCGACCGTAAAAGTTTTCGACGTTTTGGAATCGAGCTCTCCACCGTTCAAAATTGTGAACCGAGCTTTGTTAGTGCCTCAAAATAGCTTAAAATAATTTTTAAGAATTTTCCGACACCGTAGCACTATTCACGCGCCACCCCCCGAGAGTGGGAATCGTTTGGGTGATAATTTAGTAATTAATTTATGTTTGGATGTTATTTTTGTAAAATCCGGGTGTTAGATTGATAAATATTTGCAGAATGTGGCTAATTTGGTAATTAATTTTTGTTAGGTGATATTTGTATAAAATGGTCAACTGTTGACCGTTGACCGGTGTTGGCCACAGTTGACCAGAACTTTGATTGGCTTTGACCGGGCATTAAACGACCTTTGACTTTGACCGAATATACCTATCCTGACAATTTTCGACGTTCCAAATCCGATTCCGCAGTCCGTTTTTTGAAATTCGGACCCAAATGCCTCGAAATTGCCAGTCAAACCCGTTGACTTTGATTTTAACTGAAAATTCCAAATTTTCGAAAAGTCATATTTTATGCTTTCGACGTTCTGAATCTGAATCCGAAGTCCGTTTCGCCAAATTCGAACCCAATAAGTTGTTTTTAACTGATTTATCACCCGATTCGATTCGTTTATCACAATTAAGTTCTGTTTTTTATGTAATTTCTGTTGATATAAATCCGAGGAAATATTGGAAGATGATTTCAAGATTGAGGACGTTTTAATGGAATTTAATGGTCGATCAGTATTGCACGGAAATCGAGATAATACTTTACTACCTCTTTATGTTTTATGGAACATGTTGATATTGGTAAATGCATGAATAAGATAATGTTGATCACTTTTGTGGAGTTGATTAATTTATACAGTCAATATGAATGTGGTAGAAATTCGATAACTGAATTCGGATCGAATGATTAATATAAGAGATTGAGGGAATGTTAGAATTAAATTACAAGTTGTGTGATTTGTGATAAAGAAATCAGCCATGGATTTGTAACTTATATTTTAAAGGTTAAATGTTAAATGTACTTGGATGAGAAATTATGAGAATACTCCGGTAGGATAAAATTACGAAAATACCCTTATGTTTGAGGATAACAAGAATTGTCCCTGGAAGTTGGTTAATAACTCTGAAAAGACATATTGATCCGATATAATTACAGATGTGCATAAGAAATGCTAGTTTTGCTTAGAAAATTTAGATAATTAGTTTTTAACCTTAAAAGGGTTTGTATAAGATACTATAAGTCTGTTAAGGAATCATTTCGAGATCAAAGAATGTTCGGGAAAGCAATTAACCATTGGATCTCTAAAGTATAATTATTTTCGTTAAGAGCTAATATCGAAATTATCTGATTAAGAAATTACAAAAATGCCCTTGAGAGGTAAAAATAGTCCAAGATGACTCTGAATGAGGAAGTAACATGAGAATTTGTTTTTAAACCGATAAATTACTGATTTGATTGTTGAGATCCTATTTTTATATGGAAAATTCTGATAATCCGTTAGTAACATCTGAGAAGGCATTTAACTTGGAAATCTCCGACTTGAGTAAGTACGTGAAGAATAATAATTTATCGATGGTGATATTTTGTCAGAATAGTTCAAAGGGACTGACATAAATGATAAGTTTGAATTAAATAATAAGACCGAACGAAAGGAAATGATTGAAATATTCTAGATTTGTAAAATGACCAAAATACCCCTAGAATGGAAATGACTCAAGAATGTCACCAAGCTCGGGAATGAATGGATATACTCAAGCTTTGAAATGAATAGAAAAATGTTGAGCACCAAAATGCCCTTATGACCTAGAATAAGTAAATGTCTTGGATTAATTAAGAAATCCAAATAAACAAGGATGTTGTGCTACCAGTAAAAGTTATGGAACGCAACTTAAGTGATCAACCAACGTTAGTGCTATATCATTACCTGAATGATATAAGTACCACTTGAATGTTTGTTCATCTTCTCAAATTTGGATCGATGATAATTCTGGAAGTACTTGGCTCAACTCAACTCTAGAGCGCATACAATACTATTAAGTGGGTATTCGTGAGTAAAATCAACCACGGATACCAGAATGACTTTATTATATGAATAAATTGAACTGAAATGAAGTACAACGTGTATTTGAAATTCAGAAACGTCTAAATTATTCTGGAAAACTTTAAAGTAATCGGGATAGACTTGCTTACTAAACGAACTAAGTAACATCAATGACTGAGGATTAAATAGGTGATTGGATGAGTTTGGAAACACTGTTGAACTTACATGATGAATTGTCCTTATGAGTTATGAGCCATGGATCAAGTACGTCCGTATTTCCTGATATTGTTGAAACGTGGAAATGAAATAAAGACTGTCGGAAGATTTATTCAATGATGATTATGGGGATGATCTATGGATCTGCATTATGGTATTAAAGAGTGAATACACTGGAAGGATAATGAATTGACTTGTTGACATACATTAGTTTGGGAGTTGTGTAACTCGAGTTGTTTGATAATATGATCGATGGTCATAGATTGTAAATGGCTCGAATCTTCGATTCTATATTTTCATCTAAAATCACTTCGGTCATGTTGGAAAACGCAAGTAACGCAGAAGGAAAAGATTATGAATACCTCATTTGGTTCAATTGGGCTGAAATCCTATGAATTCAAAGTATATTCCTGAATACCCCTGATTGTTTGGGTAATGGAATCACTCGCAGTAAATCTGAATTTAGAATTATTATGTAAAAAGGTTCCTGAACGTTTTCCTGATGCATATAGAAACTTAGTGGAATTCTAAAAGTATCAATATGAAATATCTGATTAGATCGGTTAGAAATCGATTCTCTTCAATAAGATCTTATTATTGGAATCCGATCAAATTGCACAAGTTTATGTTATCCATATTGATAACTACAAAATGCATCTGAAAAATAATTGGATTCTCTAGTGTGTTCCTTATATTTTGAAAAATTGTTTTATTGTTTTAACATGCGGTACACTGAAATCTATGGTTACTGTTTTATGGATGCACCGACTTAACGGTGATGGCTTATGGATTTGTATCATTGTATAAACTGTATCTTGGAGATACAAATCTGTAAAGTACAGCTCTGATCAAGCTAGAAAATTTTTATAGACCTAATGTGACTCTTAGATAGGCTCTGTGGCCCTGAGATCATTCTCGGGTAGGCCTTGCGGCCCTAAGATGTGTTCTTAGGTAGGCCCCACAGCCCCGAGGCCCCAAAATATATCTTGGGTAGGCTCTTAGGCCCTAAGATGTTCCCTTAGGTTAACTCTTTGTATGGTTTTAAAATACGAGTTTAAAAAGCTCCACTACAGTATGGTTTATGGGATTTTATTGAACTATCATTTGATTAGTGTACATATTATGGTTTTATCGTACTGATGGAACACACTAGGTTTCTTATGAACTGAGATCCATGGCTTCTACTCAATGAACTTCTAAGGGAACCCCAGATTATTCCGCCCACTGGTATACGTATGATTCAATAAGGAAATTATGGCTTCCCATTTATCTGTATGTCATGTAGCATGTAACATCCTCCATACCGGGTTAGTGATTAAAGTGTAAGATTTTAAAATGTCAGTGATCAAATTAAATTAATCGAAAAGTGAAGGAAGTAATTAAAGATGTTGGGTAGGATGAATTATTAAGTGAATGAGAACTAAAAGGGTAAAAGGGTCATTGAGCAAAGATAATAATTAAATAATAGATATTGGGTATTATAATATCCAAGTGAAAGAAACAAGAGTTTCCAGATAACTCTTGACTCTTCTTTCTTCTTCAACGTGAAGAGCCCAAGCTAAGGTGAGTTTAATTTCTCTTGATTAATCCTTCAAATTCAAGCATGGTTTTAATTATGGAAGCCTTAAGAAAGATTATAGAAGGAAAAATAGTTGTAGAAACTCAGAGAATTGTAAGTTAAGGGAGATTA